TTCCTTTTGGCCATCGTGTACTACTTGAGATGTGAGGATCTAAGGCTAAATCTACTAGCTAGGTGTGTGGAAATAGACCAAAACGGAAGATAGAAGGGCGAGGGTAGGTTGTAGATTCTTCTGGAGAATCCCAACCTTAACATGTTAGGCTATCCTTAATTAAGGAAAATAAGTTAATTATGTTTGTGGAGAAATTAAACCTACAATTTCTAAATTCAAAAATAATCTTTTATTACTAGATCCACTCAAGCTATATATGCATATATATATATATATATACATGATATTTTTAATTAGGCAATTACTAGGGAAAGAAAAACGAGAGATGACAAGTTAAGATTCGAACTTTAACCTTACAAGTGCCATCCACTCTTGTTGAGAAGTAATTGCCAACTGGTTTTTGTGCCTGGTTATATGACAAATTTGTTGAAGTGAGCCAGTGATTGGCCATCTATGTATGAATCATGCATTTTGTTCTATGGCATACAATGCTTTTGTGTTGTGTTAATCTATAATTAACTCGAAGATGCATACCAACCATGTTTTTGGGTTGGTCATTAGTTCTATGCTCCCATCTCTTATCTCTCTCTGAGTCACAAATTAAGGAAAGGGTATCTCTTATTAATACTGTTGTTTAAGACAATTGGGAGTGGTTGCCCTGGTGACTCCCATCGTGTGTATCGAGGATAGAATCAAATTTGTTAAGTAAGGAGACCTAATTAGAAGCCAAAAGTCAAAAGAGCCATGGGGCATCTCTGCCTAATTTCTGTTATCAACAATTGCATTGTACGATGTTGAACTCTTACCTAATGGTGGTACCAAACATAAAAAAAACCTGAAACACCTAATGGCCCGATCCTGTTGAGCTGGCTATTACTCATAAGATGCCATTTCTTCTTCAGGTTTAGTTAGTCAAGCATTTCTCCATTGGAGAAATAAATGAGGTAAATGTTCAAATAATTAGGCCTAATAAAAATTCCATTGGCCATTGAAGAATGAAAAATGAATTTAATTTGAAGTCTCTTTTTTTTTTTT